TCAGGCACATTGTGCAACTATACTAAGAGCGAGAAACTAAATCAACGTTTACTCACATTTTTCTTTTTCTCCTGTAATTATCTTCAGATGATAAATAGCTTACATTGACATTGGTATTTAACTAAGGTTTTCCTTTAGAAATTGTGTGGTTTCTTTGACATCTCGAGAAGAGAAACGTCCATACCACAACAAAGTACATAAATTATTTGATGTACAGATATAAACACGGTCCATTATAGATGTTATTGTGATTTATTATATCATATAGATAAATTAATACTGCCTTTTTAATACTGCTACAATACATTTTGTTACTCACCTCTGAAGTATTGCCTAATCAAATAACAAAATTGTTGGAATTCTTAGCTTTCTCTAAATGCTATATTTTTTCCTCTACTTGCCAATATACCTTTTTATGGATTTAAAATGATAAACTAAATGACGGCTGGTAAAACGAAGTACGTAGAATATATCTGGTGGAGAATAGGTGTTCATTTTCAAGGAGTTATTAATTTCTTTTACATGTACGACACACATAAACTCCTCATTTAAGTTTCTTTCTTTTTACAGTGGTAATGCACTTATATTTGGCTCTTCCATTTTTTGTTATTTCAATGTTTCTATCTCCTTGAAGTTTTCTTCCTGGTTGAACATAATTAGACAAATAAAAAAAAATCCTCTTAAGTTGTTGGTTTCAAAGCGTCTTTGGATATTCGGTAAACTTTTCACAGAGTTCTTGCCAAAGTTTTCACTATTGCTATCATGCAATATACGAAATACAAAGCGAAATTTTCAGTTCGTTGGTTAATTTTTCAAATGTATCCAAACAAATTTTCTTAACGTGATCTTATTGTTTTTGTTTTTCACTAAGTAAATCTAAGTATTAAGAGTAAAAAACACAAAAACAACGTTTTTTGACACAGTGAAAGGTAAAATGTTTATTATAGGCTATAGCCCACTAGTTTCGGTAACACAGTTACCATCTTCTGGGCTAGTGTCTATAGTGTTAGCTTAGTCTATATTTAGGTACAACCCTTAATGGGCGAGTTCAATTTAAAAAAAAAGTAATCCCTCACTTACTATTTATCTTCTTCCCCTGTCTCCTGACTTTTATTTTTTTAATGAACTCGCCCATTAACGGCTCTAGCTAAACATAGCTAACTCTGCAGACACTAGCCCTGATGATGGTAACTGTGTTACCAAAACTAGTCGGCTGTGGCGAATAATAAAGATGTTACCTTTTATTGTACCAAAAACAGGAAGTTTTTCTGATTTTTACACTTAATATAATAGCACAATGCGTCTGAAAGAAATTAAAACAGTAATTAATTTCACTAAGAACTATTCATCACTAAAAGATCATCTTCATGATGATGTACTGGGATTTCGTCAATTATTTGTCATGGAAATTAGTATTATTAACACCTGTACCATTCTTTTTTTTCCGTCCCTGATATACTGAGCTTTTTATCTGGGGCTTCAGTTGATATTTTCCATGTTTATAATCTCAGATGCAATGCACTTGTTACCAAAAATCATGGTAACTTTCCCTAGGCCTTTTTTCATGAGGCTGATGTCTTCTTAGCATTTATGATATCTTAAACGGCTTTGCTTTGCGTATTTAGATTGTCTTCTATCACATTCGTCCACTTCTTGTCACGTTTATGGCTGTACTTATAAATGTTTCAACTTTTTTTTTCAAATGGTGTAGCTGAAGCTCACCTAGTCACAATTGGTCCTTTTTGGTAATAAAAGAAACTTTTCGATCACGCCGACTTAAAAATTAGAAGTCACAACAATCGTTTAACTAGTTCTTTCGTGACTGCATTAAACAAAAATTATGATTTTTGGTTACAAGTTCTATTAATTTGAACATTCAACAGTATATCAACATGACTATGTTATGAAAATATTAAGTTTTTTTTTAAATCACAAAGATGTCATTAACATATGTATATTGACACAAATTTATGATTTAAATTCTTGAGGACAATCGTTTAACTAGTTCCTTCGTGACTGCATGAAATAAAAAAATATAATTTTTTTATTACAAGTTCTATTAATTTGATCGACACAGTACACTATAAAATAAACCAGCACCAGGTTTCATACGGTTGTACACATGTAAAAAGCGATTCAAAGCTTGTTATACATATGCACTTTCATGAAACGTTTCCTGTTTGATCTCCAGCTTTGACACCGTCTTTCAAGCTGAATTCATTACGAGTAAAGTCGAAGACTTTATCAAAGAACTATTTAAATTAGTTAGTAATAAGACAAAGGTTACTATGGAGTAACTGCTAATAAGACTGGATTTCATCGTGGTGACATAGAGGACTATCCCCACAGTTATGCAGATGTTGGGAGAGACTATATGTTGTTGTCCAAAGGAACAATCATGGGGTTTAAAGAATCCAGAAGCATAGACTAAGCAACAGGTCGTGTACCACGATCACCTTTGGAAGTGCGTCAATGAGAGAAAGATTTATTTTGTACAGCACTGTGCAAAAGTGTTAGGACAAAGTCAAAAATTAGATTTCAGGCTACTTTCAAAGAACAATGGAAGGTAAATCACAGGCGAAACATCAAATTATTAATAATCTTCATATTTAGTACAACAAAAACTCGGTGGAAGTGCTTGAATTCAGCAAACAATTAATATTTTCCTTAAATAACTGCAGACTGTCTTTCAAGCATTGTTGCAACATATTTAATCAAAGTGTCTTTTGGGAATTTACTCCAAGTATCTCTAATACACTTCCATAAAGTTTCTTTGGAAGCAACTTTTGACTTGCCAAGTTTTTGATCTATCAAATCCCAGATCTGCTCAATTGGGTTGAGATCGGGTCTCTGTTGGGGCAATTGCATCATTTGAATGACTCCAGCAGCTTCTTTCTTAGCTAAGTGATTTCTGCATAGGATGGATGAGTGTTTGGGGTCATTATCTTCTTGGTAGTAGAATCATTTACCAATAATACAAAAACCATTTGGTATACCATGGCGGATCATTATCTGATGGTACTTGCTCTGGTCCATTATTCCACCTATTTTGCAAATATCTCCTATCGCCTCAGAAGAATAACACCCCCAAACCATCACACTGCCTCACCCATGCTTCATGGTAGGTGCTATGCATTGAGGTAAGTATCTTTCATCTTTCTTCCGCCAGACTTACAACCTACGCTCTGAACCAAATATTTGAAACTTGGACTCATCCGTCCATAACACCCTTTTCCAATCATCAACAGTCCAGTTTTGTACTTTTTAGGAAATTTCAGTCTCTTAGCAATATTTGGAGATCGACGTAAAGGTTTTTAAACTGCTATACGACCAAATATTCCATTTTCATTGAGTCTTCTTGATACTGTAGATCTGGACATTTTTCTGTCATTTGGTACATGATCGTTTATCTCATGCTTGAGATCAATGGCAGTCGTCCTTCTGTCCCGAAGGCTACATAAACGAAGATACTTAACATCAATATCATTGAATTTAGGTGTTCTGCTTCTTCCTTTCCTATTTTCTAATTTAATTACCGTGTTCAGGGAGCATTTCAAATCTGCAACAATTTGTATGCGAACTTTCTGCTCTACTGATAATTCTCTACGCTTTTTGGGCCGTGGCATAACAACAAAACTTAATATATAGTGTTAAACACTATTTTTATCAAGGTTTATTTGTGCAGTGCTATTAAATTGATTTCTTCTTGCATATACTGGTACCATTAACCCATGCAGTGTCTTCACTATATAGCAAGGAGCTAGCATTTCTGCTTGAATGAACATACTGATCAAATTTAGTGTCTGAAATAACTGTCATGGCCCTTATGACATGCCCTTGGTACAAGTATATGGGAATTCAAAAGAATGCTAAGTATTCACACCCTGACTCATTCAATTGTCAACAGGGATCAATGAAGCATCACTATAGTGTTGAAATTTACATTCTGTTTTGACATGGAAGAATTAGCCCCATAAAGTGGAAAGAATAACAAAATATTCTGTTGTCCTAATACTTTTTCACAGTACTGTATAAAGGTAAGTCATGTACTTTCTGATATTTTTAGTGTGAGTGTGGAAGTGTGTAGATGTTTCTATAGTAATGTAAAAAAGTTAAGCCAAATGATGTATTAGTTTTTGTCTCAAGTACTACAGATTATGTGCTTTAAAAAAAGCCATTAGTTTGGTACTGGACTTCACTGAATTTTTCACACCTTAACAGAACTGTTTCTTAAATGTTGACAAACGTCAGTGCAGTATTGTAAACATAGTGATCTGGTATTTTAGCATAGTGGATACTGGTGTATGTTAACCATGATAATAGTGTATTGATATCACAATAGTAACTTTTACTGATATTTATGTGTAGGTGTACTTGACTTTATAAAGCGATACATTTTAGTTAAATGAGAACATTATCAAATAAGTTCAAAGAGCTTTTTATGTTCTTTAGATAACTTCTGAAATACATAAAAGTGACCTGTACAACTAGATAGAAATAATTGTTTTCACAAAATGTGATGTGGTATGTCAGAAGTTGTGTTTCGTTTTATAAAAACTTCTTGTAGCATGTCTGATTTTAAGAGAAACCATAATATTTGTTGAAGTGACTGATTAATTAGTCTTGGTGTTTTTGTGTAATTTCAGCATGCTCATTATAAATCAGTCTATAATAAAATCATAATAAATTATTAAAAACAATGTTTCCTATTTACACAATTTAAAACTTTATTGAAACTTTCCGGTTCTATTTTAAATTGACACTCTACATGTTCAAGTTTAGATGTGATTTACATCATCTTCAGGAGTTACTTACAAGACATACTTTATACTTTTACCCCTTGTTGCATTGATTCACTATTATTTGCATATTTCCTTGGTCTTTTTTTTTTTAATCTTGCCATATATTAACGTATTGACTTGCTGGTCCTTTATCTCTATTTAGTAATTCTTTGTTTTTTATATTTCATTATTTCTAATGTTTTACTAATATTTTAACAGGCAACAGGATTTTTAGCTTCAGTGACAAGGATGTTGAGTTCTTCCTGCCACAGTTGGTTAGTCTCTACGTTCATCATGCTGACGTTGCAGATGCCATACACCCTTATCTTGTCTATAGGTATGTCTTTTGTTAACCTGTGGTAGATAAAAGATTTCATTACTTTCAAATTGTTATGGAGTAACCATGTATAATGTTTGTAAGGATTTCAGTATTATGAATGGAAGTTGAAAACTACTTGCAAATGATAGTAATTAATTCATCATACTGAATGAGGCCTATTACTTTTTAAATTGTTATTGTTCTCCCTGTTATTCTAATCAAAGTATAACAATTTATACTTTATATTGGGAAAACTTTGTTTTACACATTGAAATTTTCCATCAGACTAAATATTTGATACCATTCACATAAAACTGAAATCATTGCAAAACTTCTATGAGGTACAATCACTGAATCTATAACATAAATTAGATATTCTTTAGTCCAAAATCAAAATATTAGACTTGCATGACACACTCGTTCAAATTTGAATAGAAACTAAGAAAGTACTTAATATAAAACTAAAATATTGAGACTTGTATGTTTTACACTGATGGTATAGAAGAAAATTAAATACAGTTAATATAAAAACAAATTCTCTAGACTTATACATATTACACTGACTGAATCTATAAAATATACATTTGCTCAGGATGGAATGTGGAAGAACATGAAATCTATAAAAGAGACTTGTGGTATTTAGTCACAACAAAGTGAATCACTGATTTTGAGCAGATGAAAATTTTGTTGTGATGAAGTGAGTTATGTACAGTCCATATAATGCATACTAATAATTAATAAAGTTTCTGCTAGTATTGCTTCTTCTATAAGCTGATTTTTTTTTTCCCATACTTCTTACTTTTGTTCTTGTTGTGTTAGTTATTTCTTGGTACAGACTTGAAGTTTTACAGTTAATATAAAAACAAAGTCTCTAGACTTATACATATTACACTGACTGAATCTATAAAATATACATTTGCTCAGGATGGAATGTGGAAGAACATGAAATCTATAAAAGAGACTTGTGGTATTTAGTCACAATAAAGTGAATCACTGATTTTGAGCAGATGAAAATTTTGTTGTGATGAAGTGAGTTATGTACAGTCCATATAATGCATACTAATAATTAATAAAGTTTCTGCTAGTATTGCTTCTTCTATAAGCTGATTTTTTTTTCCCATACTTCTTACTTTTGTTCTTGTTGTGTTAGTTATTTCTTGGTACAAACTTGAAGTTTATGCATGGGGGAAAATGGTAAGAGAGTTTGTGTGTGTGTTTATTGTATGTGAAGAAGGTTGTAGACAGGTAATTAGTTAAGGTAGATATGGCAGTTTGTTTCACTACAGCAAATAAAAAAAATGTTTCTAGGCCATGTTCTCATTGTAGATACATTACTGATATACATTATTGACAAACTTTTTTCTCTTAAAACTGATTTCTAAAAAATGTATCTTATTATGATTGTCACTCCTCTCTATGTTGATTTTACAGTGTTAACTAACTGATAGTATTTTAAGTTTTAGTTGCAAAATACATTTGTTGAGCGGGGAAGAAGGATGAAAAATTACATAAGTAATATTTAGATTAACAAATATTAATTGTATCCTTACATGTATTTACATTTTTCAGTAATTTTGTATATAGTATGTAGACCTAAAGAGCTGTTATCCAGTACTACAACATTAATCTTTATCAAACCTTAAGTCTTTGAAATAATTTTGACTTTAGAAGTAGGATATAAGCTGTCTTAGATTAGAACATTTGAAGGTACCAGGCATTTATCCACTGACTAAAAATTATTCAGAAAGTAAGATTCTCTCTCTTTCCATTTGAATTGCTTCTCCAGAAGATATATAGTAAAATTTAAAAAAAAGATTATAATTCTAAAGGTAAAAGATTTATCATTTTCTGTAAGTATAGATGTAGTTGTGTGTTCTTCTAACATTTGAAATAAATTATAATTTAATTTGACCACTTTCACAGGAACATCTTGTTTTATTTTCTGTTACTCTTGTTATACTGAACTGCTTTTTTCCACCAGGTGTAATAAGAATGTAGACTTCTCACTTCAATTGGTGTGGTTATTGATAGCCTATTGCTCTGACACTAATGCCCCTTTGCGAAGAAAGTCTCAAGGAGTAAAGCTGAAAAATAAGATTCTCTCAGAAGAACTGAGGTAATCAGTCAATTAAGACAAAAATTGTAAGGAAATACAGCTTGATTTACATAAACTTTTTCTGACAGGTGACTTGGAAAAATGAACAATTACTTTAAAGTGTAATAAAAGTTTTTCTTTCATATATATATATATATATATGTGTGTGTGTGTGTGCTAGTGTGTGAAAATTGGTTTAAAGATAACATTGTTTTATTATTACTTACTAATATTGTTTTAGTATCAGCATTGGTTTTATTATTAATTAACACTATTTTTTATTCTTTATCTTCAATGTATTTATATTCCACCAAAGGCAATTCCCACCCACTCAAGGAACACCATTGTCTGGTCATTTACCACCTGTAAACAATCCATCTACAGCCAAGAAAACCCATCACAGGTCATTTTCAGATGCAACAGGTTTGTTTGTACATTTCTTCTCTCTCTTTTTCTTCAATTTGATATAGCCTTGTTTTGAAATTAGCTGGAAAATTTCAAAACATGCTGTGTGTGTGCATCAAAAGTTTAAAATTAGACTTGTATATTCCATCTTTTATATATATATATTTCTTTTTTTTAAGGATTAGGAGCTGGAGGAAGTAGCAATCGACAAATATCTAGTCCTCTAACTCCAAAGGAGAAACGGGTTTTAGGAGACCTGTCCTCTGGACAGGCCTTTAATAGTAGGTGTGTTTGTTTCGAGAGCTGTGAAGGCATGTTCAGTGACTTGAGAGGACAAAGAATTCAGTGTCATTGCCAGGTATGTTTTAAGTTACTTTAAATAAACAAAAACTACTTATCGAAATTTGCTTTATTGTTACTCCATAGTTCTTTACTTCTTTATCTCTCAGATATCCCCCTTAAGCCATTCTCTGATTTCCTTATATCATGGGCATATCAAAAATTGCCTTTAACAATTGTTTGGCTTGTTTTTTAAAGCATTAAACTTAGCTCTTACTTAGGCTATTTTTGTGGTTCCTTTTGATGTTAACATCTCGGGTATCTAATTTGGGGTATCCTTTTCGAACTATTGTGTTTTTCTGTTCTAGCATTAACTTTTTAGAGGTTACTATGTTTCCATATTTTGTTTTGTTATTATTAGTCTTCTAAAGATTTAACAATTTAACCAGTTGGCTGATTTCATTCTAGGAACTATCTCGCAAAGATTCCTCTTGCGTTCTGTTTAATTGTTATTGTAAATAACATACAAACATTTAAATTTCTAAAAGAATATACAGTTATAATAATTGTACCTCTTTTTCTTTTTTTATTCAGTTTTTTTATAATTGTTTTTATCATATTGGTGCTTTCACAGCTATAAATTTGCTAATGCTCTTGACAAATTGTCTTACTAAGTATAATTAAATTCAAGGACTTAGCTACAAAATTATTATAGGAGTTCTAAATGCTAAGCACTTTAGATCAGTGATTCGGAACATGGGACACCTGCCCCACAGGGGGGCAATTTGAAAATGCTACAATAAGAAAATTTTTCATATGGGTGTGAAGGGTGAAAAAAGGTTCCGTGACTCAAAACTAAATTTCTAAATTTTACATTATGTTATTATACCTTTTCAACACCAAATTTGTTTTTATATTAAGGGGCCATCAAATTTTTTGAAGTGTCGAGGTGGGGCATGCAGCAAAAAAGGTTAAGAACCACTGCTTTAAATACATGTACTTAAAGATCATGTATAGTTTGGATAACAATATAATCAGATAAATCTCTTCTTAAAAGCACATTTGGGTTATTTGAATTTGGAGTTTGTAACAAGTATTAATTTTTATTTTAGATTTTTTCATTCTGAAACTAAATTACCAAATTGGGGGCTACCCCCCAGCCCTTTATCTAGTTACACCCATTGAATTTGCAGATTTATAAGCACCTTATGTTTTCTAGTTTTTTACTGCTATGTATAGATTTTTTGTTACTAAGTGTAAAATAAGAACATAGTTACATTGCTCATATTACTAATAATTTAAAGGCTTAAAATTTGGTATTACTGTATTCTTTTAAAACAAGTATAAACCTTAATACTGATTTTTGTTATAATTGTATTTTAAAACAGTTGAATCATTGTTATATTGACATTTGTTTTGTTACTGTAGGCTCCAAGGTTAGCTCCTGAAAATGAATTTGTTAAATCACTTATTTCTATTGGATTACGTCTGCAACCGCTTCTCACAAAGGAACTTAAAAGTAAGTTTTTTTTTAAAGTGGTGAATATAGAGTGAATTAACAAAGATCAGTAAGTTTAAAGTCAAAAGCAAGGAAAATTGTTTGCTCAGTTCAGGATATCTGAAAATTATTTGTATTTGTACATTAATAGTAAATTTAACATTTAAATCTTTAGTTTTTCACCAGCCGTGATGAAAGAAGTAGCACAAAGAAAATCTAGTAGATTTCAAATGATCCAGATACATCTGGGAAAAAATAGTCAACTATTCAAAAGTACTCAAATTTCTGAGTCTTTTGAAATCTACTTAGTTTTCAACAGGATAATTTTATAAGCACAAGAAAACCCATCAAGTTGCTTTTAAAATCAAGGCTAATGTTTAAACAGTAATTGAATTATTGGTTGTTATAGAGGTGGAATCATTTTTTAACTTGCATGTACTGCTATTATTTTTTATTATGTTTGTTTCCTAGATCCATTGTTATTTTTTTATGTTTTTGTTAGAACCACTACTCCAACAATTAATTAACTTCATTATTAATGCAATATTTTTATTACTTTTAGTTGTAAATTTTGTTTTTGCTTTTATTTTTTGTGAAATCACATTTATCAGAATGATATTTTCATTAATACTATTTTGGTAAGCATAGTACTAGAATAATACTTGATATTACATAATTTTTGTGTATTCATTTACCCATTCTGACCAGCCAAATGTACCAATTGCCAGTGCTATGAACCTAATCTGTTACATATTAGTATTTCATTTGTTATACAATGGAAGTTTCTTTCTTCATAGCTCAACGGCTCCAAGCAGAACTCTCTGTGTTAAATGTTAATCTTCCAGCACGAGTTTGGTTACCTATTCATTCATCCAGCTGTCCACATCTAGTGGTCCGAGTCCCACCTCAGGCTGCTGTTGTACTCAACTCTAAAGATAAGGTGTAGTGAACGTCTTTGTTATTATGATACTTATAAATGAACTCTAGACAGAATAAACCAATTGTTAGGCTGTTTTTATAACAAAATACATGGATAATTTGCTATCAGCAAGAACATGGGAGAAAAATGTCTAATAGTGTGTGTTTTTTGTTTGGGTTTTTAGTCAGTAGTGGCTTGTCTGTGTATCACTATCAAATCTTGTAATTAATTCAACATTTTGGTTTCAATAACCATTTTTATGACTGCTGAACATTTCTGCTCAGTAATAATGTTCCGATAAAAAGTTTGAGGTTTTACTTTAACATAGAGAAACTGGCTTATTAGTTTTGTTATATATTTACAATTTTATAGTTAAAGTTTGGGAAAATTAATGAAGATGTTCGTTTTGCATACAATATTCAGGCTCCCTACATTATATATGTTGAAGTGGTTGAGGTTGAAGACATGGAGACAAGTCCTATTCCTTTGAAGATTGTTAACACTCTTCGCCAGACTCGATCTGAAGAAAACCTGTTGGACTACTACAGTCATCAGGACGTATCTCTTAGCTCCTTCTCTCTCTACCCAAGTGTTGATGATGATGGAGAATGTTGGAGTCAAGAAGATGATGATATATCTGTGCAGGTTTGTTGCTTTTCATTTAGAACATGTGTGACAATATTGTTTCCTAATCTTTAACCCCTTCCGTGTCGGGCAGGTTTTTTTATTTCACTTTTTGATAGCCTATACTTGTATATTAATGAAACAAGCTCTTTTATGACCTGTTATTTGATTTCTGCACAAAATATGCTCAATAAATAAATGTTACATATCTGGATTTTTACATGATGTATCTTATTTCATTGAAACTACTTTTCTCTAGTGTTTGATACATAATTCAAAATAAATCTGAAAGAGATCAATACAAACAGCATTTCCAATGCCATCTAGTGAGCACTGATTGTAAAACATGATAACAAGCAACTATATTCAAGAAATTAAGAATGGAACAAGAAATGGTTTGCCTGAATTAACTCGGGCAAATACTTTTTGAAACATGGAGGATGCTCAAGTTACCTCGGGCAAATTATGAAGGAGTTAAGTGACATTTTTATTCCTCAGTCTTCTATGTAGAACAGCATGTCCTAAACCATGTATGTAATTTTTCTTTGTTTATAAAATATGTAATAAGCTAAGAAAATCAGTACTTCCGTGAATGGTAACTTTTACATTTGTTTTATTTATTATAGTATTCTCTTGCACTAATTGGCTTCTGTTTATAATTTATTATGTGTATATAGAAGTATATAATTAGAAAAGAGTTTATATCAAACTTAGTTTAACCAAGTTTTTTCCTGAGCTGGTACAATTAAATGTATGAATTGTTTGAGATAGAATATCTTAATACTTTTACATTTTTAAATATTTATTGAGTAACTTTAGAAAGGATCATAATGAAAAATATATTTAGTAATTTCTTCAGGTGTGGTATATTAAATATTGGAACTACAAGTGGTGAAGCTGTGTCTAGAGGTGATAAGTTGCTATTTATTTTGTGCATAAGCTTACAAGACTCTTTTTATAGTTACAGTACATTAACTGCCTCAAGACCAGAGACAGAGATACCATTTCCCAGTTTTCCCAAGATAGCACTACAAGTGCAGATAGGGATCCTGTCTTGGTGGCTGCTGGAGACATAAGGCGTAGACTCACAGAGAGTATTAATGTGCCAAAGACTACATTCAAGGTAATGAATGTTGTTTAAAGTATTATTCCCATTTTTTACTATTGTACTTTTGTTTTCAACCACCATTACTACTTAATATGTTTGTCAGTGTTTTTAATTGTGTATCTGTGTTACAGTAATAGACTGTATTGGTAAGAAGTTATAGTACCTGTAATTACAGTGGACTGAGACTGTGTTTTCATTATTACTTGATGTGTTGGTTAGAATATTTAGTGTTGTATATGTGTTTACACTGATTAAGACTGTTACTGTTAATATAGAAAATGTAGCTAAGAAGTTGTAGTACCTGTGTTTACAGAACTGAGACTGTATTGTCATTAACACTCAGTATTGGTTAGAATGTTTATTGTTTTACATATGTTTACAGTGACTAATACTGCTGATGTTACCTCTAAAAAAAGAATTGATCAGAATATGGAGTGTTGTAGTTGAATTTACAGTAAGCCAGAGTATTTGTTCATTACAAGTCTTGTGGTTACAGCGAGATCCAGAAGACCCATCAGCAGCTGCACTTAAAGAACCCTGGGAAGACAAGATCAGAAGAGTTCAAGAATCATCACCGTATGGCCACCTGCCTGGATGGCAGCTTTTGGCTGTCATAGTCAAATGTGGTGACGACTTGAGACAAGAACTTATGGCCTATCAAGTTTTGGCAACTCTCAAGGTAAGTTGTATCAGATGTTTAGTAATTTTTTGGATCAGCCGAACTAACTAAATTAAACGTAGTTCATTATAATTTATTTAATTATTGTTGTACATCAGTGTGAAACTATGCAAAAATGTTATCATGATAGTCAGTTTTTGTGTAACTTTCAAACAATAATAGAAGCTAGTTTAATAATTGTAAGTTTTGTAAATTTTAGAAAATAATTATTTGCCCCCTTTTTGTACAGTTTAAAGGGCTACATGGGGGACATTTGATATACATACTGTTTTCATATTGAAAAGCATTACTAAAGGTGTATATCTAGTTGATTAACCCTTTCCAGACAGGTCACGGGTCAAAAGCCACGTCATCACATTTGTTGACTCGCACTAAAAATTATTTTGAACTACTATTTTATGAAGTTATGTCATTAAGTTTGGTATCAAACTGTAGATTATAATTAAAATTTTCATATTAAACATTATTTAATATCTTGATTTAAAAGTAAATATTAAAAAACACATCTAAAAAATCGTTTTTGTGTGTCACATGGTATGTTGAATGCAGCACTGATTCAAATTAGATGTTTGTGATGTCAAAATACTAAGTCTATAGTTTTGTATGAATTAGGAACTCAAATTATCGATATTGACAAGCTAGAATACAAAATAAGAACCTCCTATCTTTTCTACTTGCTGAGATATCACTCATACTGAATCAAATACAATGATCCTGCTCACCTCTTTCCATTTTTGGAAATGGTCCCTTATATATATATATATAAATATATACACACACACACACACACACACACACACACAGATATATATATGACATATGAATAACCAATTGAAAGCTCAGAATGTCCCCTAGTGGCTTTCTCAGCCATTTTTAAATATAATGGCATCATCTCTCTCTTTTGAGACAAACCTTCATGCTGGTAAGTTGAGTCTTTAGCCTGTTCAAAATTTCATATTTTTTTAGACTGAAATATAGCTTAGTTATCAAGCTTAATAAATTATAGTCGAATTCTATTGTATTGATATATTAATTTATGATTTTTTAATTATTTGAAATGTATGTATAAAACCTAAAACATTATTTTGTTTCACATCCTCCACGTGTGAAATTTTAAAAGGCTTAGCAACCTATGTCAATTAGCAACCGAGTACAAAGGTCGTAACTATAAGAGATAATTGTTTGCTTCACTTCTTTATTTACTGTTCTGTGTCTTACAAAAAATAATTTTAAGAAATTATTTGTAAATAATAATGTATATACATATATATAATGTATAATAATTGAAATGTGACTATATTTTACAAAATACTAGTCCAATAAAACACAGCCAAGACAGGTCACTTTGTAAAAACTAAAGGTCAGTTTTATATTATTGGATACGGTAACATGAGTGCACGTGCACCACGTCATTGTAACTTCTGTATTGTTAGCCAGGCATGGCTGAAAGGTCAATATAATAAAAATAATAAATATATATAAATGTATAATGTTATGAGATTTAAGTCATTTAGTCTAAACATTTATGTTTTCGTGTTATAATTTGTAGTCATTCTAGAACGAAAAAAGCATAATTTATATTTATTTCCTAATTTTTTATGGTGGTTACGAGATTGGTCAAATCAGCTGAACCAGTACAGAGATTTGATAGTGAAAATAACAGATAAAATATAAAGTTTTTTCTTAAACATTTGATAATTATCTGGACATTATAAGGATTTTGCATATGAAATTTGAAAATTTTCTGATGCATAAAAGTAGTTTTAATCTTAAAATGAAAATGACTTTGCATGTTGGATAGGCAACATGCGAAAAAAAAAAAAGACATGAGACAAACATTGCTTAACAAACCTTAAGACTTAACAAAAAATCTGATATTGCATATCAAAGCATTGTAATGTTTACTGATAATCTGCCAAATTTCGTGAACATATGCATACTAATTTAAAATTTATAGCATGAAAACTGTAACAAGCACAAAATGGTTACCAGGTCGGTCCCAGGGACCGAGCCTGTGTTGAAAGAGTTAAATAGGACTGTGTTAGCACTGTTTTGTTAGTTACTTTCACATTAAACAAGTTATTGATTTAATTCTACAACATCTTTTAAGTTTCCAAAGTGAAATCTTAATTAATCTGTGTGGATATAACACAGAAGTCTTATGTAAATTTCCTGTCATCAACCTGGAATGTCATGGGTGGATACATCACTAGCTCATTGATATTAACATTGTAAGAAGTAGTTTTGAGTTTTTATTGTACAGTAATTTTGTGTATTTTATTACTTGTCATTAATGTAAATCCTGCTACAAATGCTATTTTCCTTTATTTACTTTCTTTTTTATGCTTATACTTACACTAAGGAGCCATAAGCAACACAAATAAATGTAGAAATAGTCATGCATATGGTCATGATTAGTTGCTTGCCATGGAGGTGTGGTTTGCTGGAGCATTAGACACATTTTGAATCTAGAGAATTCAAGCTAGTGGCCCTGTGATTGGTCAAAAGTGAAACAAATGCAGTCATGCTTATTTCTTAGATATATTCGTCAGAAAGATTTGTTCAGCAAAATATAGGCACACCACCAAGCTTGTTATGTACTGTTTTCAAGGGGATACACACCTACAAAATGGGAACTGTACAACCCTGGCTGTCATCTTGACACTGCATAATAGTTTTTTAGTAAAAATAGTTTGTAAAAAGGCAGAACCAGACAGTTTATTTTGAAGATCTTGTCTATAAGATTCTCTTTTTCTAGTCTTGGATACTCTAGTCATTTTGGGCAGCTACTAATAAAAGGGAAAGTTGATGAAAATTTTGATCATCATATAGGATTTTGTATTTGATAAAATGAAATAACAATTGAAATATTTTTCTTGTTTTTTAACATATGTTCCATATTATAGTAAATTAGGTTCATTTGTTGTTTTTTATCAATCAAAATTGGCAAATTTGATGAAGAAAACCTCTTACACCCTAGAGCAAATACTTGTAAGTATTGGTGTTTGCCACCTGTTCGTCTGAAATGATCAAAACCTAATATGTTATCAGTTTCATAGGTTTGAAACGTGCACAGTTTGTCAACGTTGTTATTGTGTTATCTGAGAAACAAGTTTCTTATTGTTTGTGGATATGAATTGTGGTATAAAGCTTAGTCGTTAGTACTTTTAAAATATACATTAACATGTTTGAGATTGAAAGGCTAAATTAAAGGAGGAATTGACTGATGAAACTATTTTTGATTCTATGTTGTTGTTTTTATGTTTCTGTTTGTGTAGAATTTCTATGTTGAATATATCTGAAATCCAAAACTGGTTATTGTGAAGGTCAAATAAATTTAGATAATTATGAAAATAAGATTTTGCTGAAATAATGCATTAACTTCTAAATAATATTTGTAGTAATAATTTAATTTCCATTTCATAGACAACTCATTGTTTATGGAATATTACAGAAAGATTTTTGCAATTTTCTTTTTTCTCAATAGAAAATATGGGAACAGGAACGAGTACCACTGTGGATCCGTCCATACCGTATCTTGGTGACTTCATCAGACAGTGGTATGATTGAGCCTATTCTGAATACTGTATCTCTCCATCAAATCAAGAAACACAGCAAGATGTCACTTCTAGACTACTTTCTACAAGAATTTGGTTCATTGACTTCAGAAGAATTTCTATCAGCACAGAAAAACTTTGTAGAGAGTTGTGCTGCCTACTGTCTTTTGTCATACCTCATTCAGGTGAAGGACAGGTATGTAGAACAAACTTATATAAATTAGCTCTAACAATATCTATTTCAGATACAGGACAAGTATTCAAAACCAGATTTTAAGAAGTGGTTTTGTGTATAACCTTTTCAGCCGAAACTCATTCAGATTAATTGCTTTAACATCATGTTGTGATATCTAAATTCACTACACATAAGCAGTATTTCTTTTTATTGAGATTGGTTGAAATATGGAGTGGAACTGGGTAAATCTCGTAATTTTACATTTAAGGAATTGTGTTAAATGGGATAAAATAGCTAAAACAATGAAAAGTGAAATAAGATCTTTTTACAGATTATAACAAACCTTTAATAACTAAATACCCAGAATCACTTTTATTCTTTTAAAATGGTTCATCTGTCATGGAAATTATGTAATATGATTAATTATGGCCTGACATGACAAGGTGGTTAGGGAGCTTGACTTGCAATCTGTGGGTCATTTGTTTGAATCTGTGTCACACCAAACGTGCTTGCTCTCTACAGTCGTGGGGGTATTACAATGTGATGGTCCATCCCACTATTTGTTGGTAAAAAAGTAGCCCAATAGTTGGCAATGGGTGGTAATGACTAACTGCCTTCCCTCTAGTCTTTCACTGCTAAATTAGGGACACCTTGTGTAGCTTTGCACAAAATTCAAAAACAAGCAAAATGGTTAATTAATGAAAATTCTTGGCCTCTCCATCTGTGAGACTATTTTGACATGTGTATTGTCACAATGCTTGTTTTAAGTTTTTTTTTTATGTGTGGTAACTTGTTTTTGCTGTTTTAAATCAGTCTTTTAACAGATTTTTAGATATTTGTGTACATTGTGGGAGAATTTGATTTTAAGTAATAGCTTTCAAGATAATCACAGTTTTTTATGTAGAAGATTGTTCAGTTTTTAGTGTGAATACAAAACATTAATTGATCATGTCTTATTACATATTAAAAATTTAGCTTTTAAAAGTTGTGACTATTAGTTTTATTACTCTGGCATATGTTCTTAGGCCAGTAAGAACTTTCTCTAACTTTTAATACACTAATATGTAGTTGAAATAAGTGGAGAAAACCATGAAAAGAAAACAGTACTAATTAAATAAGTTTGTGGAATTCATGAGGCTAAATTATTGTGAATAGAATGAAAGTATAGTAAGTAGAGACAATGTAACTACAAAAGATTTTATAGTTAGCTTAGAGTTTTTATTGTAGTAGTTTATTGTTTCATACTGACAGCACTTAACCAATGCTGAGGTTGAATCTGTTATATCAAAACAATTTTGGAGCCTCACCACATTGTTGCAGTCCATGTTGACGTGTCCAGTCATTCTCTGGATGGTGGCCGTGCATCATAAAAATAGCCCTTCACCATAGTTTCTATAGCAAAAGGCTCCTTTATAAGCTTGTCATATCAAAAGCACAACAATACTACCTTCTTGCTTTCCATAAGCCATACAGTGTATGAGGAAGACACTTTCCTAGTGCACATTTCAACAGTTCAGTCACAAACAAATCCATAGCCACTGCATCTGGTGACTTTATATGTATGTCTTCATATTTAATATTATGAACATGCATTTCATTCTCCCACTGATTGAGTTATACAATAGTGGAATGGATATGTCTTGTATACATCTTGTGTAAATGTATTGCATTTCTGAGAGAGCCTTCCTAATTATGTTGTGTAGTGTTGCCTGGGGCACATGGATGGTTTTTGCCACAACCTTTTATGATCGTAGTCTCACCGGCTATAAGATTGCTGCACTTTTTTTATCCCTTCTAGGGTATAACTTGTTGCAGGTCTCTTTTTGGATGATCCTGGTATCCCAGATACATAGATATTTCCTGTTTTTTCAATACCATTAAGTTTAAGGAATATTCCCATCTTAGAAATTTGAAATCTGTGATCAATATGTCTTTATGATCTGAGTATGGATGTTTTGCATTGGAAAGTACTGTTGCAGATGCTTCACAGAAGTGATAAATTTTGGTGTTACACTACCTATGAAGTACCAAACTATATAACATTGTAGTTCAAGTCTAATATATACCATTTACTGAATTTACATTGCCTGACTTGCTAATTTGTATATTCGATACCTTATTACTCAACTGTATATAGGCTGATCTATGTTCACCTTTCATAATTTGAGTAAGCCTAGTGTTTGTATATGATTGTGACTATTTTTGAAAAACGAAAACTATCAAATTGCTGCGTTGGACTTAGGAACTTTTCCATAAATGAATGCATACTTTATGATTTATTGTTTTTTTTCTTGCGATAATTGTTAAACTGTGTTATCAAGAATATATATACTGTTTATTTAATTAGCCATACTGATTAAAAGGTTGATTTTTAGACCTGATATATGTAGGTAGCTTATTTTAATCAGAAATGTGTAACAAAGATTCCAGTGAAATCTGAACATATCAGTATGGTTTTAATAAATTTGAATACTAATATTTTAATTTATTTTATGGTTGCTCTTATTTTCCTAGACACAATGGAAATATATTGTTGGATGCTGAAGGCCACATAATCCACATAGACTTTGGCTTCATCCTGTCTTCCTCTCCAAAAAACCTTGGCTTTGAAAACTCTCCCTTCAAACTGACACAAGAATTTGTCAATGTAAGTTTTGTTTCTCAAATACTTGGTAATAATAAGTGCCAACGAACTCTATTGTGAATCATCAGATTGTTCTGATTTTTTCAACATGGTAACATTTCTTTGTGATATACTGTTGTAGAGGATAAATTTGGGTCTTTCTGTATTTTTGGGTCCAAATTTCAAGAATTTTTCAGTGATGTCTAATCAGAACATTGTGAATAGTCTGTAAAACTTGTTTTTTCTACGTACTTTGAAATCTGTACAATACAAAAACTGAAGCTACTGTTATAATGCAAGAATATTGTTAGACTTTGGCTTACAACTATACATTAATTAGCATATAATATTGTTAACATGTGCTCTAAACTGTTAATTTGAAACAGATTTTTGATGCATATTGTTAACCTTCTTACTACCAAGGTATCAAGCACATATGTCCAACATGGTTTTTTCTTTTGATTATTTTTAATGTATTTTATGATGTAGAAAAAATAACCAAATGAATAATTTGTAATTACACATGAAGTAAACTAAAATGTACACATATTATTGTTTACAGAACAAAATCTAATGCAGGAAGTATACATACATTATGTAAATATATAGGTAATCAAACGGTTGAACAAGATTTGTACTTGGATGTATGATATGTAAAACACTTGCCATCGTGTTGAATATCTTAACTGGCTGATGACATGTATGGAGAAAATATATCTTGATTCAATAAATAAAATGTGATTTCATTTAAAGCAAACCATGTTTCTCACTGTCAATATATTAAATTACCTTATTTTCATTATTAAGAAAGGCTACCTTTATAACTATGTGTATTGTTTAAATGAAAGATGACTTGGAAGGATAAAAGATATGTTGAGTAAAAAAAAGAAACTAGTGTGTAAAAAACTTTTTTGTGAAATTTTGTTATAAATCAAAGCTTCTTCTGCATTTCATTTGATCAAACCATTAATTACTTCTCCTCTAGGTCATGGGAGGTCTCGGGAGTGATATGTTTGAATATTTTAAGATTCTCATGCTTCAAGGACTTCTTGCTGCTCGTAAACACCATGAGAAGATTTTAGCTTTAGTTGAAATCATGCAGGCCAGTGCACAGCTACCTTGCTTTAAAAATGGAGCAAGTGCTGTGAAAGGTCTAAGGGAACGATTTCACATAGGCCTAACTGAGGACCAGCTTCAGCTCCGTGTTGATAGCATGGTGGAGTCCAGTATGCATTCCCTGACAACTAAATTGTATGATGGTTTTCAGTATTTAACTAATGGAATTCTTTGAAGCAGAGTAGGTCTAGTTCCTTGAAAGCTAGAGAGACTACAAGATTTCTTGATGTATAAACATCTTGTAAGTATTTTCAAGTGTTTCACAAGAGGAAAAAGACTTATTTATGATTATTTACTGGAGATAAGTTTGGTGTGATTACAAAGCTGTGTAAAGAATGATCTTCAAATGGTATTATGTATTTGTGATTATCAAACAGTATACCATGAACATGACAACCAGCATTGAACTGTCTTGGCAAAGAGCTGTTTTTTGTCAAGAGGAAACAAAGTTTTTATTATCTTTCTTCATATTACATCTCATTCCAGTTTACCTCCGATTCATCTATGATATCTCAGCTGGAGTGGAAATGCTAATTGTGCTAGCACAATAATTAGTGATGTACTCCATTGTGTCTTCATAGTGAATAAATCCAAATGACCCACATAGTGTTATTCCACAGTAACTCTTTTTTTTCAATTTTTTGCCACTCTTTACACAAATGGCTAAGTTAGACCTAGAGGATGCTTCCAGCTACAATGTGCCTTCAATAATAATTTTATCATTCTCTTCTATATAACTGTTGCACTTTTCTTTATTTTTTGCCATCTTATCAACATTGTTAGAATTTCGTGTAGTATGTAGTAATATAATTGGATGGAGAGATTCAAACATTTGTTAATTTCTAAAGTAGCTGCAACAACTTCTGGATTAACTAGAGTGACTTATAAGGTACTCTGTAAATCTGGTACAATTAATTTAGCTGCTAAAGTTGTTAAAAGTAGGTGATATGTATCTTCTAGAGTATTTCCTGAATGCCCCATAAATGCTTAATACATTACACAAGCTTAGTACCATATGAAAACTTTGGTTACTTGTCAGTTTAGCAATTTGTCCAAGATTCAAGACAGCTGGAAAAATCTCTTAACTTGACTAGTGATCATTGCATCTATCATAAAACAAATACTATTACGAAACTTGAAGGCACGAGTTATACAAAAAATACAGATAATGATAATAGAAGTGACATTAGGGGATATTGCCTTATATTATCTGGCATATGTTGGTTTATGTATGCTGCATGTTTTTTCATTTGTAGACTTTTACTACATTCACACATAAATCATATATTAACATAGCTGAAAGGAAAGGTTTTCTAATAGGAGTCACAAGGCCATTATTTCAGGAAACCTATAGTTATAAAGCTATGGTAGTTTCAAGTATAAATGAAGCACTAAACCCTCCTGGATACCGTACCATCAGGTCAGCTTTGCCATTGCTTTTGAAGAGTGATATCAATATTAGATACAGAATATTAATTCATTATTTCTTTCCGACTAAATTGTATATTGTGATCAATTGAAATTAATGAATTTGAGGATTTTTTTTGTGTAAAAACAAATCTAGTTTTTGGTGTAATAATAAGCAAGTGTGTTATTAGTATATGTTGGTTACTATTTTATTTATGTGTATATAGACACACTTTTATGATGGATATTTTGTGCCTTGTACTTTTTTTTGGACCCACTAGAAGACGGTTGCTGTTTCTTCTATGATAACTTGTTGAAACAATATTAACACCTTACATATGTGTTGGTCTTGTTCATATAACAAACATTAATAATATACTTGTTTCTAGGTATGAATATTTAAAAGTATTCTTCGTAGCTTAACAGTGTTGCTAGTTATTAATAGTTCTGTATAAAATTTTAATATTAGTAACGAGTAAAAGTTTTTCCATCCTATAGTCAGTGGGATATAATAAGCTGAAATGTCCATGTAAATATTCAACTCTTTGAGCTGTGATTGTGTGAAAGGGAAAATAAAGTGTAGTAGCTACTCTGGAATGTAAAAGAAATATAACCAGGCATCCTATAAAGCATTTTTTTATATTTTGAAAATTTAGTGGATTTTGTCAGATTTTAACCCCTTGACTTCTAGTACATAAGCATGCCATAAAGAATATCAGTTGGAACTGCAATCCTTCTGCATCAGCTTATAAGATTTAGAAACTGCTTCATCAAAGAAAAAAATGTAGTGAAATGCATGTTTGATAAACCTTAATAATTACAGAAAATTACATAGAATTTAACACAAGACTGAGAGGGCAATAGACATTTCAATGTGTTAAAAAAGGAAACATTATTTTTATCAGAAATATTCCAGCATAAAAGTGTTTAAAAATTACAAATTTGATTGTGTAATGTTGTTTTTTTTCCATTCTTTGTGTATTTTTTGACAGTAATCATTATTTTTAGTAATTTATTATAATAAATAATAACTGAAGAAGAATGGGGGGGGG